TGTCCACTGCTCCACCTGGATGTATCTCAGGTGTGATGGGTTAAATGCAGAGAACTAATTTCACCATTGTATGGGAACATACAATGATGATAATTTCAGACTTCCCTTCCCTGTTGTGGTCCTTAATCACCTTGAAATAGGACATCAATTTCTTTAGCTTACCCCAGTACCGCTTATAAGTCCGGGTATAGCCAAGCTGCGCCATCATTTCCGATAACTCTCTGTAAATGCACTAATGTCTTGTGGCATCATCCGTCAGCACAATCAGAGAGGAAATGGAGGTTCAGATGTAGTTTACAGTTTTTCTGGGCGAGTCATCCAGTGACGTACCTCCACTGGTTTATCAATGGCTGTTGTCTGCTCATGTCAAAATTGCCACCTCAAAGCATTCATCTTGAAACTTCAAAACAAGATGGTCCCATAAACTAGGCTGAGTGTGGGGTAGGTACAAAAAGTGGTCAGGCTCTTAACTGATAAGGTGTAGGGTAGAACCTATGAGAGTTGAGACAGTGGAAAAGTGACATAACACAATCTATTCTGCCCTACATTGTCCCAGTAGTGACAAAGAGAAATTACATCATCATAATTACAACATCTACTTCCTCAGGCAGCTGAGATGAGCTGGTCTGGGAAGCTCAGTCCTCACCTCCTTCTACAGGTGTGCAGTGGAGAGCATCCTGTGCTCCAGCATCAATGTGTGGCATGGAGGCTGCACAGCTGCAGAAAGGAAAGCTTTGCAGAGAGTGGTGAAGGCTGCACAGAAGATGTTGGAGTCAGTCTCCTCACCATCACAGACATCTACACCTCCAGATACAGGAAGAGGGCCACCTGCATCATGAAGGACCCCACTCACCCAGCACACACACACCTTTTGCCCTGTTCCCCTCAGGAAGGAGGTTAAGGAGCATTAAGTGTAGAACAAGTAGATTGAGGAACAGCTTCTACCCTGAAGCTGTTAGACTTATGAATCTCTAACCAGAATAATCACAGTGAAAAACCACATGTTGCTGCTGATCTGTTGCATGTTGCTGCTGATCTGTTGCATGTTGCTGTGTTCATTCGTACTCATCTGCTCAAACAGACTCATGTTTGTTCTACTGTTCGGTGTATTGGTTTTATGCTATTAGTGCTTAGTGTATATTTAGTTGATGTTTTTCTTAGTTCATATCTTAGATCTTATTACTGTTTTTCTTTTACATTTTATTGTTGGATGTAACTGGAACCCAGTGTACAATATTTCGAACCACAATAAAGAAACTCTGACTGTGATAACAGAACAGAAAGATCCTGATGCATGCTCAATAATCCAGGTAGAAAAATCTAAAAAAGTTATATCTGGTCCTCTGGACATTCAAAAAAACAAAACAAACAGAAAGAACAGAAAGATGCATTTAATATGTAGGCTTAAGAATAAATATTTCCTATACATAAACAAACATTCTTAATCATGTATTCTGATGCATGCTCCAGGCAGAAATTCTAAAAAAGTTAAGTCAGGTCCGCTGGACAGATAAAAAAAAAAAAAAAAAAAAACTGGCTGATCTACTATGATAAGGGGCTATTTATAAGACTGCACTTGTTGCAGCTCCTCAGACTGATGTCATTTGGATTAAAGACAAAACGTTTCAACAAGTTTTTTTTTATCTGTCCAGAGGACCTCACTTTTTTAGATTTCTTAATCATCAAAGTTCATGCACAATCATCCAGGTACCAATCCAATAATGCTCAGTCAGGTCATCTGGACAGTTTCTTTTTTTTATAGAAATACGTTTCTATAAAAGCCCTCTGGATAGAGGGCGAAACGTCTCATTGAATTTTTAATCATGTTTGCTTTTAGGATCTGACTTAGTTCACCACCAAGTCTTTTGTCCTGGTTGGTGCATGTATTTCCCTTTGCAGAGTAGTTTCTTTTGGTTTGGTTGTCATTGCTTTATGAAAGCTTAATGTTTCATTGGAGCCCAGTGAGCAGAGTGAAAGCGATGCTGCATTCTATCGTTTTCTATCACTGAGAGCAAATGAACTTAGGCCAGTTTACTGCTGTACTCACAAAGAATCACTCTACCAGGTTTATCCTTTTGTCACATGAAAATGTTTGTTATCTCTGACCATAGCTCCAACAACGAAGTTGGTGGTTTAAGTTTCTTTTTTGTTTGTTTACAGTGCACCTTTAGCTTGTTGTACAACCACTTTGGTTCTAACATGGTTGTACTGTCCATTGTCCAAAGGTTAGGTTAGTGGACTTCAATAGCTAATGGAATAGCTGTTAAAAAGTTCTTATGTGAACTATTTGTCCTTTTAGTAGGCATTTGGGATGACCCTCAACTACCACCACACCAAATATTAGCTCAGTAATTGTAAAATTGGCTGAAATATAGCCATTTTTGTATTTGTCAAGGATACTGAGCTGTGGTGGCCATCTTGAATTGGGTTGAGTCCTCAAGTTATTTACTTGTAAATGTACTTCCAATAATTCATTTCTTTAAAATCCATCCATTGGTTCATGAAATATTTTGTCAACAGTCATACAAACAGACACAGTCATATAAAAACATGTTGACACTGGAACTCCCCCCCCCCCCCCCCCACCACACACACACACACACACACACACACTATCAATCACTTTAGTTCTAAGACGGCCTGTACTGTCCATTGTCCACAGGTGGAGGAAGAATGTCCACTTTTGTTATTGTTTTTTTCTCTGAGAAGCTGGAAGGAGATACACCAGTTATTGTTGCATGGTGGAAAAGCTCATTAGCAGTGAAACATTTATGTAATTTCAGCATCCCAGAGTTGTTGAGTAGCTTTCCTGTCTGAGCAATGTCTTTTAGCACCCTTTTAAAATGTTTCACACATCTCTTCACCAGAGGATGATAGACAATTGTTTTGATATGTTTAATGTCACGTTCACTCATCAAATCAGCAAAAGCAGAAGATGTCAGCTGTGATCCATTGACATTTGTGATGGTACAAGGGTTTCTTTCACATGCAAAATCAAAAGTCAAGAATGCAATGACTGTTTGTTTTAGCATTAAAGAGCAAGTGTTTTTAGAACTGTGTGCATCTTGTTGCCTATCATGATACAGAGGCAATTAGTGGCAGATTAAATGATAAATCAGTCTGGCTATACAGGCACCATGCATTTTTCTGATCAAGACTTACATAAAAGGCAGAGAGTGACAGTCCACTATCACACTTTTTTAGATTCACAGAGATAAACACAAAACCTAACGTCTCCTTTGCTTTTTTGTGCTATCAGCAGAGAACTCACCCATTCAGATATGTCCACTGGTTCATTGATGTCTGTTTGGAGTAAGCTTTTGAGATCTGCTGAAGCCTCTTCATGTACGCTGAGCGCAAATCTCTCAGTGTTAGATGATTTGATTTGATTCCCATTTTTGGTGTCACGATTCAATTCAGAAACAATTTTTCTATTGAGATGGTCATAAATTTTTTTTGAATTAAGTAATTGACAAGATGAAAAGACAAAACAACAATGCAAACAAATAACATTTATTTAAAACAATAATTTTATGTTATTATAATTTAGAACTGGCTCCAGGCGGTGTGTCTCATCTCTCCTCTTCAACCTGTTAAAAAGACAAATTACATTAAGTTTTTTGTATAACTTGTCTATATAAGTTTTTGTATAATGTGAGAAAAAACAGTTACTTTTGAGCTGCAGCTGGTAGCATTAATCAGAGCTTCTCCCACTTTATTCTTTGTTTCATGGTGGAGTTATCAGAATAGCTTTATTATCATTGCACCGAGATACAACAAGAATGTGTCCGTACAGTCGTCCGAAAGATGGGAGGAGTGCACGAAGCTGCTGCTATAAGCACGACCTTCTTATCCTTTACAGAATACATTTTTCAGATAGAAAAAGGGACAAAGCCATGAGGAGAGGGTCGTGGCATTATAAAAATAGATCTCTTCACACTTTGTCCTAACAGGACACGATTGAAGACATCAAAAAACTCTGCCAGCAAATACATTTATGAACACGTTACATGTGCATTTACTACGAGGCGGTCCCTGAAGTACTAAACAGATAGTCCATTGTCCTGATAAGATAAGACGATGGTCAGTTCCCAGAGACCAGGAGGTGTCCTTGGCTGCAGCTGCATGCTGCAGCCTTCTCACACAACTCCCTCTGCTAAACCAGACATATGGTTCAAGGGCAGCGTAAGATTGTCCCTGGGAGACGGCCTCAATTATGTCTTGGGCTTCTTGTTCTTGGCCATAGTAACAAAAACGTCCATAATCTTTGACCAAACGTTCTCTGACTGATTCCTTGCAAATATTAGATTGTCATGTCAAAATCCAAGTTTGCCCCGGTCATATATGTCCCTCCATCTTGTGAGCTGGATAATATGAAAAATGAGCAAGGCGTCAATTTCCTGGTGGTGGATAAAAAAGCTCCCTCCTCTCACCAGGATCCTGTACAGTTTTGGTGAGCAAAAATAAATAAAATAAATAAAATGTCTGTTCTTCAAGGTTCAGTGTGACTTTATTGTCATTCACATCACATGTGGTAGATGAGGTGGAACGAAATTGTGTACTCAGGGTCCCAGGTCACCCAAAAATAGCAATAATATAAAGTATATTAAAGAAAAGAAGAAGCTGTATAGAAGGATCTAAGGATACTTGTGTTCTTCTACACAAAGTAACTCCTACCCACGTAAATATCTTGCACCAAAAAACATGGGGTTCAATTCCAGTCCAGAAAAACGCTAATCTCCAAAATTAAAAACATTCACAATTCAAATCCCTCAGCAACGGGGGACATTTGTGTGCTGCTTGTTCTCTCTGGATACAACTCATTTAAAACCTTTCATGAATGGTCTGTAATTAAATGAGCAAAACAAAAGTTGAAACGAAGCACTCTAACATGAAAAATGTTTTATTCCAGCAACTGATTTTTTTTCTTTCAGATTTTGCATTTAGTGATAATTCTTGTTTGTAACCTGTTTCTTTCATTTATTCTCTTCTCCAACAAGCATGGTGTTATTACAACAGAGGAAGAACAGTATTTAATAGAGCCTTTAAAGAACATATCCACCAACTCCAGTGAATGGGACCACGAAGGAGCGCAGCAACATGTTATTTATAAAACATCTGCCATTCCCTTACCACACGAGCATAGCCAGGAGTTCAGCTGTGGCATTTCAGGTTGGTGAATCTCCATCTGGCTTGGATTCTGTGTGGGTGGAACTGACGTAAAGGAATAACTATACATAGCAGGTTAGAGGAAGTGCTGGTTTGGTTCTAGGCCCAGGTTTTGGTAGACACAATCAGACCTTTTGTGTGCCAGAGTTGCTCCTGGTCAGACACTTTTCAACTTGTAAGAGAAAGTCTTCCTCTGCCTTTCATGAAAGGCCTTTCAGTGAATAAACAGAGAAATAGCATTCATTTTGAATACTGAGCACTGAAAGGGTTGATAACATTTCTAAAGAACGAGTTAACTAATTTGTTAAAATAAAAATAAAAAACAGAACAGAAGCTAAAAATAACAGAACTGAATCTATAGCTATAACTAGTACAGCAGTTGCTTAGAGCTTAAAGTCATAATAGCAGTCAAAATGTGCAATTTAATGGTTTTATAAATTTACTTTTTTGAATGTGTAGCTTTTCTAATAAAAATAAACAAATAAGCATCATTTGCTACCAGATATCTAGAGTAAAATTTGTAATAAATGAGTGAAATTAGCAGTCAGGTTTTGTTGCCATTAGTTATTAAAAAAACAAACAAATTGTTTGTCATTTTCTAACACAATATTTATGAAAACCCTCATTTCTATGAGTTTAACCCACAAACAATCATATATCAATGTTGAAACTGTACTAGAAACATAAAACTTTTATTATGATTTACACAGTTTTCACCCAGAGTAGAAAAACAGCAAGAGACAACCATGTAAAAAGGTAAGTGATTTTTATTTAAAGTGAGTATTAATAGAAGCTGAAACTCAGGATGAATCGGTGGAGAAACAGACTGGAAAGTACTATAAGTAACTGATAAGCAAAGGTTTTATGATCTTTAGTATCCAAAGTGTATCCTTACTTTGTTTGTCTTTGTTGTAGGCAAGGTGGAGATGGGGGATTCCAAAAGAGGTGATGGTGCAGGTGGAGATGAGGTGAATATTGATTTGTAGGAGAGTGGCAGGATGGAAACTGAAGGGCTGACCACAGTACTGCCACATGTAAGTAACTCGGGACTGGAGAAAACACAAGGAGTGGATTATTGAGCATGGACTTTGTTGTTTTCAACAAGGAGTACAGTTTATTAGCTTCTTATCGTGGATAACGATCACAGAGGGCTGTAGAGTTGTTACCCAAAGGTCTCAAATGTTCCAGCAGAGATCTACTGAGCTACAGATCCTCACAGTGGTGCTTGAAAGTTTTTCGAGCCTTTTATATTTTTCTATATTTTTGCATAATATGACCTAAAACATCATCAGATTTTCATACTTCATAAAAGTAGATAAAGAGAACTCAGTTAAACAAATGAGACACAAATATTTTATTTGGTCTAAATCTAAAAATGTTAAGTCAGGTTCTCTAGACAGGTTCAAAAAAACAAAAAAATTGTAGAAACGTTTCGTCTTTCATCTGAAAGACTTCTTCAGTCTTCAGGGCGTGAGCGCCCCGTGGTTCCCAAATCTGCAACATCTGTTATCAGGCCAGCCATGGAAATTGCCGTGGAGGGAGGATGCTCTCCTCCAGGCGGGAGGAGTGATCAGGAGTCACCCGGAAATAGGCCAGAAATCTAGCGTTCAGCACAATTAAGACTTATGCTGCAGCTATTTCATCCTGTCACGAGGGCTTCGGTGACAGAACAGTTTTTAATCACCCGCTGATGAAGCGTTTCCTAAAAGGTGTATGGAAACACAGACTGGTGTCATGCCCACTAGCTCCACAGTGGGACCTAACGATGGTTCTGCGCGCTCTGATCAAAACTCCTTTTGAGCTTTTAGATCAGGTTTCACTCAAATTCCTGTCACTTAAAACAGCCCTGCTGTTGGCTTTGACATCAGCAAAGAGAGTGAGCAATTTATCTGCGCTCTCTGCTGCCCCATCATACCTCAGGATTCAAGCTGATGGCAGCTCAGCTGCGCTGAGACCTAACCCAGCTTTCATGGGGGTGGGGCGGTAACACGAGATCTGAAAGCAAAGGTTCACATACTTTTACCACTCACAAATATGTAATACTGGATAAATTTCCTCAATAAATAAAAGACCAAGTATAATATTTTTGTCTTTTTTATTTAACTGTGTTCTCTTTATCTAATTTTAGGACTTGTGTGAAATTTTGATGATGTTCTAGCTCATTTATGCAGAAATCTAGAAATTTCTAAAGTGTGTACAAACTTCAAGGTCAAGGTCAAGTTTTCTTTGTTGTCATTTGCATCATATGTGGTACATGTGGTGGAACGAAATTGTATACACAGGGTCCAAGTTACATCCAACAAAAGTATAAATTGTAAAGAAACACAGTGATAAGATCTTACATATGACCTAAGAAATATGCTAAACTAAGAATACACTAAGCCCTAATAGTACAAAAACAATACGCCGACAAACAGTAGCACGAACATGAGCCTGTGTGAGCTGGAACTTTCAAGCACCACTGTAAATACAATCTCATCAGGCTGGATCAGGAACAGGGGTGAGAGGAAAGTGCCGCCCTCCGAACAAGTCCTTTGAATGAAGGACAAAACGTCTCAACAAAAAAATAAACCGTCCAGATGACCTAACTGAACTTTGTTAGATTTTTTTACCTGTATTAATGAGCATGAACTTTGATGTTATGGTATATCTTGTATGCATGGGCTTGGGCTCAGAAAAAATTACCTCTTTAGGCGGGCAGTTAGTTGTGAAGTCCAGAAGTACTCGGGGACCGGAAGTGAGGAACTCTCGGGACTTGTAGTTTTGCTCTCTTGTCATTTTCAGAAGCAGTTATTGATCTGGATGGTGAGACAAATCAGATAGTCCAACTTCCTCGGCTTATCTTTGGTGACTAATTGATCTTTAATTTGGTCATTAAGTGAATGTACAAACATACCTCTCAAAGCTTTTCTCCCCATCCGGTTTTCTGTGTGGTGATCGGGAAGCGAATAGAAAATTTTGACTCTGAGCACCTCCCTTGGTGCATAGTCTATAGTTTTGTTGTTGTTGTTGTTGGTTTTTTTTTTGTGTTTTTTTTTCTGCTGTCTCCTGGTGAAGTGGTGGTCAAAAACCCACTGGAAAGCTTTAAAAAAATCTTGAAAAGTTTAATTTTTAATTGGGTAAAAGTGAAGGTAAGTGCATGACCATGTTAGTGCATCCCCCTTGAGCATCCTTACCAGATGCAGATGGTAAACAGGGAGCTTTGCCTTATGTCTCAGCTACCTTTTCACCACAATGGACTGAAAGAGAGTCCGTAATACTACAGATGCTGCACAAATCCGTCTGTCATTTTCATGCTCCATTCTTCCCTCACTCGTGAACAAAACCCCAAAATGCTTGAACTCCTTCACTTGAGGCAGAACCTCACCCTCGACCCAAAGAGAGCAATCCACCCTTTTTCACTGAGGACCATGGCCTTAGATTTGGAGGTGCTGATTCTCCACCCAGCCACTTCACACTCAGATGTGAAACGTTTCAGTGACAGCTTAAGATCATGGCATGATGACGCCAATAGGACCATATCATCTGCAAAGAGCAGAGATGGATTCCTTAGGCCACCAAAATGGAATCCCTCCGCCCCCTGGCTGCACTGAGAAATTCTGTCCATAAAAGTTATGACTAGAATCAATGACAACGGGCAGCTCTGGCAGAGTCCAACTCCCACCCTGAAGGGATCCGACGTACTACCGGCAATGTGAACCAAACACTTGCACCACTTGTATAGGGACCAAACAGCTTGTAGGAATGGGCCACAATCCCATACTCACTGAGCACCCCCACAGTATAACCCAAGGATCATGGTTGAACGCCTTCTCCAAATCCACAAAACACATGTAGACTGGATGGGTAAACTCCCACGAGGACCCTAGTGATGATAAAAGCTGGACTAGTGTTCCATGGCCAAGACAAAACTTGCATTGTTTCTCCTGGATCTGAGTTTTGACTAACCATTGGACTCACTTCTCCACTACCCCTGAATAAACTTTTCAAGGGAGGTTAAGGAGTGTGATCCCCTATAGTTAGAGCACACCCCCCGGTACCCATTTTTGAAGGGAGGAACTACCACCCCAGTCTGCCAACTCAGTGGCACTGCCCCCGATGTCCATGCGATGTTGCAAAGGCTTGTCAACCAAGACAGTCCCACAACATCCAGAGCCTTAAGGAAATCAGGATGAATCTCATCCACCCCTGGATCCCTGCCGCCGCAGAGCTTGTTAACTACCTTGGCGACCTCAGCCATGGCTATGGACAGACGAACCCCAAAGTCCCTTGACTCTGCCTGCCCACCCTATCCTGAGGGAGGGGCGGGCAGGCAGAAGCTTCTAGTTTATGTATCCCCCAGGAGCAATTTGAAATAAGTTGGCCTGTACTTCTGGTCACAGGAGTCAGCTCAGGTGGAAAGGGTGATGAAGAAGTCTGAATGGTAGGTAAGAGAACTGCCAACTTTTGTTCTATGGAATACATCACGTTCCCAGCTCCTCCAAACTGGTCTTGGTGATGGTTGCTGGGTGAGGATCTGCTGGATAGTAGTTTCATGATTTTCTCTGTGTTTATATTTATTTATATATTGTATCCAGACAACAACTTCTTGATCTTTGAATTTGTGCCATCAAACACTTATTTTGACCACTATGAGAGGAGATCTGGAACACACACCCCCCCTCCCCCCAATGCTCCAGACGCCAAGGAAAATGGGTTGGCTGGCTTGTGATGCTTAAAGCCCATGTCATTCCCCTATCTGTTATGGAAGCACAATCCGTAGTGTACTTCCAGGTCACACAATACAAACTGTCTTAATTAACTTAGAAAAGTACATGCTCTATCTCCACCGATTTTCATATAGTTAATTTATGCCACTTTTTGCATTCAGATTGCTGTTGTTAATGAATAAAAACTGTCTTAATTTACTTAGAAAAGTTTGTGCTCTATCTCCACCAATCTTCATGTAGCTAATTTATGCCACTCGTATTTCCGTTACAAATCATTGGTTAAGATGAAATGCGACGCATTAGCCCTGACCCCCTGTCTGGGCTGAATGAAAAAACCCCGTAAGACACAGAATTAATTATTTTCGTGGTGAAACAGCGCTGCTCAGTGGTGAGGCTGCATATCATTTTAACCATGTCGTAAATATGTCAATGATTTTAACAGAAATACAAGTGGCGTAAATAAGCAACATGAAACAGATTGGGAATGACAGCCCATCTTGCACTCTCTGTAGCAACCTTTCCAACTGATGGACAATGTTTCCATTGCTGATCCTGGCACTGTGCTGATCCTGTTGCACACTGTATTGTCCCATTGGTAGGGTCCGATTCTGACAGTGGGCCCGTGTGCGGCTGTGTTTCTGGCCCGTGGCACAGGTCGAACTCTACAAATTTGAGACCGCTGGACTAGGCACCGCAGTCCTCTCCTCCTGCAGTAGATTCTATGAGGATGACCCTGATTAATGCTAGATCACTGGCTAATAAAACTTTATTCTAAATGACTTTTTTTCTCCAACGGACTGGACTTTTTTTTCATCATGGAGTCTTGGATCTGCTCTGGTGAGGTCAGCCTTTTTTGGAACTACTGCCTCTAGATTGCTCTTTTTTCAATGCTCTGAGGACAACTAGTTGTGGTGAAGGATTGCTGACTGTTTTTAGGAAACATTGGAACTGCAGACAGTGCCATGATTCAGCTAATTATGTGAGTTTCGAACTGCTCTGCTGTGAGCTGGGCCGCTCAAACTTGGTTCTGTATGTTGGGCTTTATAGACCTCCTAAATAAAACAGAGTTTTTAAATGAACTCTCTGACTTTCTAACTGGAATCCTGCTCAAATATGTCCGTGTTTTAATTGTGGGGGATTTCAATATCCATGTCTGCTGCTCTGATAAGCCATTAGCTCAAGACTTTTTAGGTCTCATCTCATCCTTTAACTTTGTACAAAATGTTGTTGGTCTGACTCACCAGCTGGGCCATACACTTGATTTAGTTTTAACATGGGTTTATCTGTCTTTGGGAGTGGTAGTGCAGAGGTTAGAAAGGTGGGCCTGTGTTCAGAAGATCGTTGGTTCAGCTCTCAATACCGACAACATCAAAATGTGGGTGAGAAAGGTGAAGCACCCACACCTGCCTCCACCCTCATTTGCCCCACTCTGGGCCCTTGAGCAAGGCCCATAAACCCCATGATCTGCTCCCCCGGACACCTTAGATGGCAGCTCTCTGCTCCACACAGAGGGCTGTGGTAGACCGGTGGTCTGCGGTTGCGTCAGGAAGGGCATCCGGTGTGAAAATAATTGCCAAGTCTTTGTGTTACTTAGTTTGCTGTGGCAACCCCTGAAGAAGGGAGCAGCCAAAAGAAACAAAAGGTTTATCTGTATTTAATTTAGAAATTAGTGGTTGGTTACTTAATTTTTTTATTCTGACCCCAAACCTGTTTTTATTAAACACCTCTTTGGTCTGTGAGTCTACACCTTCCCCTCTAGCTAGGCCCTGTTGGATACTTAACCCTACCACTGTTGCTCTCTTCTCCACTGCCTTTGTCACTAATTTTGTTACAAACTCTGGACCCATTGTGTGTCTTAATACACATGAGTTGCTCTCTCAGCATCGGGAGACCTGTGTAAAGATCTTGGATTCAGTCGCCTCGCTAAAGATCAGGGATCCTAACACCTAGTATTTTGTATCATTGTTATGCTGTTGACTGATTTATCTGCCCCTTAAAACTCCACAGCTCCAGTTCCATTCACTCTCTGTTAAAATGTCTTGATGACATCAAGGCATGGATGGCTTCAAATTTGTTAAGTTTTAATGATCGTAAAACTGAAGTCATTGTGTTTAGCTCTAGCTCTACCGCTGTCACTGATCCCGTTACTTGACTCTTTTTAGCCTTATCTTAAGCAGTCTGTTAAGAATCTTGGGATGGTTTTAGACTTTGACTAAGTTCAATAACCATATTAACTCTATTCTTAAAAAAAGCTTCTTCCACTTAAGGCAGATAGCTAAACTTAGATTTGTGCTTTCCAGATCTGACCTTGAAAAATTAGTCTATGCATTTGTTACAACCCAGCTGGACTATTGTAATGCACTATATGTTGGGGTCAGTCAGGCTTCTCTTTCACGCCTCCAGCTTGTCCAAAATGCTGCAGCTCAGCTATTGAGAGGAACTCATAGGTATGAGCATATTTCATCGGTTTTGTCCTTCCTTCACTGGCTCCCTTTGCGTGTCAGAATTGATAAAAAAAATGATCCTGTTGACATTTAAGTGCATTAACAGTCTTGCACCTGCATAACTCTCTGACCTACTTCAAACTTCTGTTCCTTCTCGGGTGCTGAGATCATCTGATCAGCTGCTTTTGGTTGTACCAAAAACCAAGTTGAAGCTCAAAGGAGACTGGGCTTTTTCAGCCATTGGCCCTAAACTTTGGAACAATCTGCCCATCAACATTAGACAGACCACTTCACTCCCTGCTTTTAAATCTCTCCCGAAAACGTAAAAATGTATTCACTGACATTTAACACAGTATGATCTGATTTATTATCCCATTGTTTCTCATGTTTGTGTTTTTTTACGTTTTTCATGTTTTTATTTTTGCTGCTTTTAATTATACCTTGTTATTTTTTACTTGATGCTGTGATTTTATTGTTAAGCACTTTGGTAACAGTTTCTGTTTTAAATGCGCTCTATAAATAAATTTGACTTGACTTGACTATTTTGTAGTGTTAGAGAATGGTGACTGCTACATCGGTGTTACTCTTGAAATTCATGTCTGAGCTAGAACGTTCTATCATGATTTACAGTTTTCACCCAGAGTAGGCAAACTGACCGCAAAATAGACTACCATGTAAAAAGGTAAGTAATTTTTATTTAGTGAGTACGAATAGAAGCTGGAACTCAGGATGAATTTGTGGAGAAACAGATTGGAAGGTAAGTATCTTGTTAACAGATGTTTTTATGATCCTTAGTATCCTAAATGTATTCTTACTTTGTTTGCCATTGTTGTAGATGAGGAGAAGAGGGAGTATTCCCAACAGGCGGTGGTGCAGGTGACGATGAGGTGAGTATTGGATCATAGGAGATTGGCAGGATGGAAACTCAAGGGCTGATCCAGTTCGATGATGAGGCACAAAGGTAAGTGGTTTCAGGCTTCAGATCTCACAGGAAAGTTGTTAAATTGAAACTGAATTGAATCTCAAATGTTCCAACTAAGATCTACTGAGCAATGGATCTTTAAATACAGCAAACCTCATCAAGCTGGATCAGGAACAGGTGTGAGAGGTAAGCTCTGCCCTGTCACTCAGGAGCTGCAAGAACTATGGTTAGAGGCAGAAAAACACTGAATATCCACAACTTCAAATAAAAAAAATTAGAAACCCTTACATTTTTACAACTGTCATGGCTGTAAATGAGTAAAACGGCAACTAAAATAAAATATAAACTAAATCACAGCTAAAAGCTAAAATAAACAAAATGGTAACTAAAAGCTAAAGTGAACAAAATGGATGCTTTAAATAAGCAATCAAAAAACAAGAACTAAAGGCTAAAACTGGCAAACACTAGCTAAAAGTTAGAAGTAGCAATATGGTAGTTCAAAGCAAATATGAACTAAACTGTAAATAAAAGCTAAAATGAGTTCTTGTAAATGAGTCCTCGGCTCAATGGGATTAACCTGTCTAAAGGTTGAATGAAATAAATAAATAAATAAAATGAGCAAAACCAGTAGATAAAAGCCAAGAGGATTAAAACAGTAAATAAAAAAGTAAAATGGCAAAATCATAGCTAAAAGCTAAACTAAAACGGTAACTAAAGAGTAAAACCAGCAAAACTGAAACTTTGGCTGTCAGCAGCAAACTGGTTGATCCACTACGAGAAGGTGCTATTTACAAAGTATAAGACTGAGCTGAATACAGCACCTCAGACTGAAGAAGTCTTTCGGATGAAAGACGAAACGTTTCTAATTTTTTTTGTTTCGTTTTGCTTTGTTTTTTTTGAATGTCCAGAGGACCACACTTAACTTTTTTAGATTTTTCTACCTGGATTATTGAGCGTGCGTCAGGATATTTAGATAATCAACCAAAAACAGGAACTAAAAGCTAAAACTAACAAAGCTGTATCTAAATGCATACTTTTACAAAACCTAAAACCTGGTACCTAAAAGGTAGACTTGGCAATACTGTAGCTCAAAGCAAAACAATTGCAATATTGAGGTAGATTACAAAGCAAAAATATGTCTTTGACGAGTTTGAAGAGATGCCACTGCATTTTTATGGGGAATTCCATTTTAAATTAAGTGAAACATTTTGAAAAGTCACAAAAACCAAACATCACAGCTCACTATTCTTGATTAAGTTAAAATGGTCGAGACAAATGGTTAAAATGGTGCAAAGTATGAAGTAGCTTGATTGCAACAAAACTATGGAAAAAATAATTATAAACAGGAAAACAATTGTATGAATGCTGAATGAACATCTTTACAATCAATTACAATAGAAAATTACAACCCCCCCCCCCCCCCCCGATAATTATCTGCAGGTGTTTGGTTTCAGATAACAAAATATTGTGGTACAGTATTATATATTTTGGTATTAGGGCTAAAGTCTTATAACAGCAGAGGCTGTTATCAGCAGGAAACCAACATGCCCTAACGTGTTTCATCTTAGAGCAATTACCAGAACATCTGGGTCATAAAACAAAAGCTTTAGCTCAAAGGTTCAAAGGGAAGCATTCCCTTTCTGCATGCATCATACACAAACCAGCCTTCAGCCAAAATGACAATACACTATTATTCTGGAGCAGACTGCTGTGTGATAACTCATCACTTTCTGTCTTCATGTCGTTCACAGACCTCATCAAAAGCAACACACCATGCCAGTTTAGCTCAGCCTCCTCTGTCTACATCCCACCTCCACCACAGAACAACAGCATCCACAGACAGAGACGGTCTGTCAGCTCCGAGCGCTTTGTGGAGACACTTGTGGTTGCCGATAAAATGATGGTTGGTTACCACGGTCGCAAAGATATTGAGCACTACATCTTGTCTGTGATGAATATTGTAAGTTTAATCCTAGTGTTTGATCATGTTGCTGATTGTAACATTGATGAATTCTCTGTTGTGTTTATGGGGTTTTAATTCCATGGTTCAGATGTCTGACTTTGTGTCTTTTCTTCTTTTCTGGAGGTCAGGTTGCCAAACTTTATCGTGATGCCAGTCTAGGAAATGTTGTGAATGTTATTGTGACCCGGCTAATTGTTCTCACTGAGGATCAAGTAAGTCAAAGTTTCTCATTTTGAACATTAAACACAGTGTTGCAGTTTTATTTTTCAGCCTCTCTTTTGGTATATGTTCCCTCGGTTTTATTGAGTGTATAACTGATCCTGCTGGCATGTTTAATTTTATGTGCTGTACTCTGGCTGAAAGGGGAGAGAGGAGACAGAATATTTCCTGTATGGACCCCACTTCAGATGAAAGTTGTACTTATGCATCGTCCCTCAGGGAGTCTTGGTTAAAGATGTTGTATATGCATTGAACATGACAGAGAATAGATGATAAGCAAACCTGGCGGTGGAATAGTAAAATGCAGGAAGCTATTCTGAGGAAAAGGTTAGCTAAGAAGAAATACGACAGTGAGAGGCCTGAAGAGAGTAAGCAGAGACATAAGGAGATGCAATGTAGAGCAAAGAGGGAGATAGCTAAAAACAGAAGACATATGATGAGTTGTATTGGATGCTGGACACTAATGAGGGCGAGAAGAATTTGTACCGATTGGCAAGACAGAGGGATCAGGCTGGAAAGGATGTGCAATATGTTAGTCTTGTTAAAGATAGGAATGGTAATGGTCTAACAAGTGAGGAGACATGACATGAAAATGGAAGGAGTATTTTGAGGAGCTAATGAATGGAGAGAATGAAAGAAATAGAAGAGTTGACATAATGTTATGCTGTTATAGGCTTAGACTGCTGGAGGACAAACTGACCACATTTCTTCACTTTGCTACTGTCTTTACTTACTCTACTCAACCTGTTTAGTATTTTTCATTTTTTCCATCTTTGAGATGTGTTTTTTTTTTTTTTTTTTTCAATAGGGGGTACATCTGCACCTACATCTGGATCTGAATCTGTGTTAGTTTGTTTTTCCTTCCTGTCCACTCAAACCCCTGTTGTCTTGAGCCTGGTTCTTCTGGAGGTTTCTTCCTGTTAAAAGGGAGTTTTTCCTTTCTGCTGTTGCCTTTGTGCTTGCTCAGGATGGGACGAATTGAAGATTCAACTTGTCTGCTGGCTTCCTTAGATAGAGAACTTTACCAATTGGCTTTTCTATAAGAATGTTTCTGTAAAGTGACCTGAGACAACTTCTGTTGTGATTTGGCACAATATAAATAAACTGAATTGAATTGAATCATAGAAGCTGTGGACCAGGAAGTGGGAAAGATTAGTGAGGGTGAAGTTTGGAAAGCTATTAAAAGAATGAAGGAGGGGAAGGCAGTAGGACCTGATGACATACCAGTGGAGGTTTGGAAATGTTTAGGACAGGGGTCTTCAAACTGCAGCTATGGAGCCACATGCGACTCTTTGGTACCTCTGCAGCGGCTCTTTCAACCTTTGACCAAAACTAAAATAAAACTGAATTTTATTGGTTGTTATAACAACAACTAAAATGGCTAGTTTTAGCAGTTTTCCTGTAATATATTTTGCAAATTTGTGAATACTAGAAAAATTACAAGGAGTAGAACATACTCACTTTCCATTTGCACTTTATCTTTTCAAAGTAGAATACTTGTTTTTTCTACAATTAAAAAAAAATCACATAGGCCTGCATAGTTTGTTTTAGTTTTTAGAAATTGGGCAAAAACAATATTATTTTTTCCTTCCTTACAAGAATCTTGTCTTTTAGTTTGTCTTAAAATGTAAAAATATCAACCAAAAAAAAAAAGTAAAAATCACTTGATATTTTTAGTTTTGTAATGTCACCCCTACTGGCCAGAAAAGCATACTCCAACAAACTTAAAGTGGTCCATGGGCCACTACTTGAGAATCCCAGTTGTAGGTATTGCAGCTCCAGACACATTTAATGTAGTGAACAAAGGGGCAGAAATGGCTCTTTTGATTGTAAAGGTTGCAGACCCCTGGTCTAGGAGAGATGACAGTGAGGTTTTTGACTCAAATATTCAATGGCATATTTGAGGGTGAGAAAATGCCTGAGGAATGGAGAAGAAGTGTACTGGTGCTCAATTTTAAGAATAAGGGTGATGTACAGAGTTGTAGCAACTACAGAGGAATTAAGATGATGAACCACATAATGAAGATCTGGGAGAGTTGTGGAAGCAAGACTTAGATGAGAAGTGACCATGTGTGAGCAGCAGTATGGTTTCACGCTGAGAAAGAGCACCACAGATGCCATCTTTGCTTTGAGGATGCTGATGGAGAAGTACAGAGAGGGTCAGAAAAAACTTTGTTGCATCATTGTTGATTTAGAAAAAGCATATGACAGGGTGCTGAGGGAGGAGGTGTGGTATTGCATGAGGAGATCTGGAGTGGCAGAAAAGTATGTTAGACTGGTACAGGACATGTATGAGGACAGCAGGACAGTGGTGAGATGTGCTGTAAGAGTGACAGATAGCTTCAAGATGGAGGTGGGAGTGCATCAAGAATCAGCCCTGAGCATCTTCTTGTTTGTTCTGGTGATGGACTGACTAACAGATGAGGTCAGGCAGGAAACCCCGTGGACTATGATGTTTGCAGATGACATTGTGATATGTGGTGAGTACAGGGAACAGGTGGAAGAGAAATTAGAGAGGTGAAGGTATGCACTTGAAAGATGAGGAATGACAAGTCAGCCGTAGTAAGAGAGAGTACATGTGTGTGAATGTGAGGGAGGCCAGTTGAACAGTGAGGCTACAAGGAGCAGAGGTCACAAAGGTACAGGACTTCAATTGCTTGGGCTCAACTGTCCGGAAATATAAGGAATGTGGTAAAGAGATGAAGAAGAAAGTCCAGGCAGGATGGAGTGGATGTAGAAAAGGTTCAGGAATTATTTGTGACAAAAGGGTGGTAGCAAGGGTCAAAGGTAAAGTTTACAAGACAGTGGTTATATCGGCTATGTTGTATGGTCGGGAGCCAGTAGCACTGACCAAAAGACAGGTGAAAGAACTGGAAGTGGCAGAAATGAAGATGTTGAGGTTCTCATTAGGAGTGACAAGGATGGATAAGATTAATAATGCGATCATCAGAGGTACAGCACAGGTTGAACAACTGGGAGATAAAGTTAGAGAGGCCAGACTGAGATGGTTTAGACATGTTCAGAGGAGGGACAGTGGGTATATTGGTAGAAGGATTTTAGAAATGCATCTGCCAGGAAAAATACAAAGTAGAAGGCCCAAGAGGAGATATATGGATGCAGTTAGAGAGGATGTAGATGAACAGATGCTGGGATATATTCATCATTTAACGCGGGTTCCTCATTTTTCTGGACTGAATAAAACGTGCATTGAATTTAAGGAAATGCAAACGTGAGACGTCATTTAGATTTGACCCATCAAAATGAATGCGGTCATTTATTTACAGAATCAAATTTAACATCAAACATTTACATTAATTTGGCAAATTATGAAAATAACAATATAAGCAATCAATCAGGAAAAATCATACGGCCATGATTTTTCCGTTGCTGCACCACAGACATTTATAAACTGTACAACTATGATCTTTTACCCACACGGATGTGAATAAGCACTTTACACAGACATTTCTAAATATCTGGGAGAATTTCTACTTGATAGAAAGTTAAAGATGAAAGAAGTTAAAGGGAGTAAGATTGAATGGGAGGGAAGGAATGTTCACCAGAACCGACACTCTCCATCAGAAGCCCAGCTCGCCTCGGTACGCTTGGTAGGAAACTTGACCCATTACCTTTCTGATGATAATCAGCAGATATGGTGTTCCGTTAACGCTACCTGTCCAGCGTCTCCTTAGAATGGCTGTAGCTCGTCAGAAGTAGTGGCAAGGCTCTGTTCGACACACATTCACCTCAGTGGAAAATGTTATAATCCCATGGAACTCGGAAGAGCTTTGTTGTCATGTCAGGAACTCCAACAGCACTCCATCAGAACTCAGCAGAGCTTGAGTAGACTCTCACCGAACTCTACGCTCTCAGAACTCTTAGAACTCCGACAACTCTCCAACTCCGAGAACTTCCGAAGTCCAAAACTCTGTGTAGACCGAGAAGTACTGACATTTTAAAAACTCTTTCCCGGTTCACTTTTTGGGATTTTTCATTGGTCAGAAACGACGAGACGGGGTGGGTTTTGTGACGTAAGAGGTTAGAGACAGCGAGAATTTGTTATGAGACAGATCAGAAATGTTCTCACAGACCGAGAGGGTTTTGTTTTGGCGTGTTTCAGGAAACAGGTGCAAAACATCTCTACTTACGTCTGAGAGGATTCTAAAACATGACAGTTTTAACATAACAACTTGTTTTTCGTTTGACTGTAACCTTGTAAACGCACACACTTGCTCATTCAAAAGCAGAAATCAGAAAAATGCATAATTACTCTGTAACAGCTTTTAACATGAGTTCTAACTGCATGAGAATAAAAATCATTACTCAGTTAATAAAATTGATTAGTTCACTGCAACATCTAAAATGGTTTGAACTAAGACACTTTGATTATCAACATTTGTAAGATAGTAATGATAATAAAAAGAGAGTGTTCTTTTCACTTGAATCTTCAAGAAAGAAAGTCTCAGGATGGGTGAACCTGTATTTATGTATTCAAATACATGAAATGACAGTTCCTGTCCCACAAGGTTCTAAAGGTCAAGAGTTTTGACCTTAGACTTAGTTTCGACGTAGGCCTAGTCCACTACAAGGACATGGAGGTAGTTGGAGTGAGGACAGAGGATGCAGAGGACAGAGTGAGGTGGAGGAGGATGACTCGCTGTGGTGACCCCTGAAGAGGGAAAAGCCGAAAGCACAAGAATATGCATTGTACATGTGTGTGTTTATGTGCACATGTATAAGTACATCTTTGTATGTAAATGTCCACGTGTATATGTACATGTGTATACTTACATGTACATGTGTATGTGTACATGTATATATGGGCATGTTTATGTGCATGTCTAAAAGTACATGTGTCTATGTAAATGTGTATGTGTACATGTGTATATGTGCATGTGCATACTTACATGTACATGTGTATGTGTACATGTGTATAAAGGGTATGGTATGGTGGTTTGAGCAGTCCTCCTCCAATGGTAAAGTTGGGGATTTGATTCCACCAGCAATCACATGCTGAAGTGTCCCTGGACATTACACTAAAACCCTTATTGCCTCCGATGTGTGTCCCATCGGTGAATGAATGTGATATAAAGTATTGATTATTCTTTGTATAGATCTAGTAGAGTGCTGAATGGGTAAATGAGGCACAAATTGTAGTGTAAAGTGCTTTGAGTATCTTAAAAAGATATAAAGGAGCTATATAAGTACAGTCCATTTACCATGTACCATTTATATGTATGTGTGTATGTGTGCCTGTATTCAAGTACATGTGTAGTTGTACATGTGTATTCGTACACATGTATGTATACTTGTGTATATGTACATGTGTATGTGGACATGTTTACATGCACATGCATATTTATACAGGTTTATGAGTTCATGTGCATATGTACGTGTTTATATGTACATGTATATATGTATGCGTACATTTATGTACAGGTCCTTCTCAAAAAATTAGCATATTGTGATAAAAGTCATTATTTTCCATAATGTAATGATAAAAATGAAACTTTCATATATTTCAGATTCATTGCACACCAACTGAAATATTTCAGGTCTTTAATTGTTTTAATACTGGTGATTATGGCATACAGCTCATGAAAACCCAAAATGCCTGTCCCAAAAAATTAGCATATCATGAAAAGGTTCTCTAAACAAGCTATTAACCTAACCATCTGAATCAACGACGTAACTCTAAACACCTGCAAAAGATTCCTGAGGCTTTTAAAAACTCCCAGCCTTGTTCATTACTCAAAACCGCAATCATGGGTAAGACTGCCGACCTGACTGCTGTCCAGAAGGCCATCATTGACACCCTCAAGCAAGAGGGTAAGACACAGAAAGAAATTGCTGAACGAATAGGCTGTTCCCAGAGTGCTGTATCAAGGCACCTCAGTGGGAAGTCTGTGGGAAGGGAAAAGTGTGGCAGAAAACGCTGCACAACGAGAAGAGGTGACCGGACCCTGAGGAGGATTGTGGAGAAGGGCCGATTCCAGACCTTGGGGGACCTGCGGAAGCAGTGGACTGAGTCTGGAGTAGAAACATCCAGAGCCACCGTGCACAGGCGTGTGCAGGAAATGGGCTACAGGTGCCGCATTCCCCAGGTCAAGCCACTTTTGAACCAGAAACAGCGGCAGAAGCGCCTGACCTGGGACTGATCCTGAGTGGTCCAAAGTTATGTTCTCTGATTACAGTAAATTTTGCATTTCCTTTGGAAATCAAGGTCCCAGAGTCTGGAGGAAGAGAGGAGACACAGAATTCACATTGCTTGAGGTCCAGTGTCAAGTTTCCACAGTCACTGGGGTGTCATGTCATCTGCTGGTGTTGGTCCACTGTGCTTTATCAAGGGCAGGGTCAATGCAGCTAGCTATCAGGAGATTTTGGAGCACTTCATGCTTCCATCTGCTGAAAAGCTTTATGGAGATGAAGATTTCATTTTTCAGCACGACCTGGCACCTGCTCACAGTGCCAAAACCACTGGTAAATGGTTTACTGACCATGGTATTACTGTGCTCAATTGGCCTGCCAACTCTCCTGACCTGAACCCCATAGAGAACCTGTGGGATATTGTGAAGAGAAAGTTGAGAGACGAAAGACCCAACACTCTGGATGAGCTGAAGGCCGCTATCGAAGCATCCTGGGCCTCCATAACACCTCAGCAGTGCCACAGGCTGATTGCCTCCATGCCACGTCACATTGAAGCAGTCATTCATGCAAAAGGATTCCCGACCAAGTATTGAGTGCATAACTGAACATGATTATTTGAAGGTTGGTGTTTTTTGTATTAAAAACACTTGTCTTTCATTGGTGGGATGAAATATGCTAATTTTTTGGGACAGGCATTTTGGGTTTTCATGAGCTGTATGCCATAATCATCAGTATTAAAACAATTAAAGACCTGAAATATTTCAGTTGGTGTGCAATGAATCTGAAATATATGAAAGTTTCATTTTTATCATTACATTATGGAAAATAATGACCTTTATCACAATATGCTAATTTTTTGAGAAGGACCTGTATACGTTTACATTTACATCTGTTTGTACATGTGTATGTGTACATGTGTTCACATGTGTATATGTTTCTTGTCCTGTGTATATGTACATGTGTACAGGCGTATGTTTGTTTTTCATTTATATATCTGTTGAGGGTAGGTTTCAGAGTGGACGTCGGGGTGTTTTATGGTGCTGATTGATGTTTTTTAAATGTTAACTTTAATGAAGAGATAGTTCAGAAAAGGACAGACAGTTTTAAAGTTCTGACTTATTTTTTCAGTTGGATTTAGGTCTAGTTCATAATGTGGCATTCAAACATATGAATATGTTCTGATGTGAACTTTTCCACTGTAGCTCTGACTGTTTCAGATTGTTGTGCAGATGAAGGTGAACCTTCATCCCAGTCTTAAGTCTTTTACAGCCTTAACAGGTTTTCCTATTGGACAGTTTTGTATTTGGCTCCATGTTTTCTCATCGTCTCTAACTTGCTTGCATTTTTCTGCTGCTTCCTCGGCATGATGCTGATAACACCATGTTTCATAGTGGCAGTGGTGTAGTCTACGTTTTTGTAGTGGATATACTGTGCTTAGAAACCGAAGTACACTTGTTAGTACAATGCAATCATCAATTTATTTTGATTTTAAGCATAATGAACATTTCCAAATTTCTGTGATGCTAATATTTGAATAAATGTACAACAAACTTTGTACAACAGTTGACTTTGTATTAAAAATATGTTATAGAATGTATAAAACAGTATCAAAGCAAAACATGTTCAAGTATTAAGTAGTAAGTACATAATTACAGTATACAACAATTTGCTGGACAAGCAAATGTAATAAACAAGCTCTGCATATAGACAGATTGTTACGTAAGCGTTTAACTGCTGTTTAACGTATCAGTGACACATGCCTAATGATATGTCATGTATCATTGGGCACTTTAAGTGGGTATACTGAAATTCTTAAGCTTTTCTAGTGGATATACTCCGTATACTCATGTATCACATAGACTACACCACTGCAAAGTAGGGAAGTGTGATTGTTTTTCACCACACACAGTGTTTTGCATTTAATTCCAAAGCTTCAGTTTTGGTCTGATCTCAGCAGAGCAGCTTCTTCCATGTTTGGCTTGGGTCAAACTATAAACAGGACTTCTTATGGGTTTCTTTCAACAACAGCTTGCTTCTTACCACTCTTCCATAAAACACAGATTTGCAGTGAGCATGACTAATATTTGTCCTGCAGAACTTCTCCAGAGTTATCATAGGCTTCTTGACTGTTTTTCAGATTAATGCTTTCATTGCCCAGGCTTAGTTTAGGTTGGAGGCTATGTCTTCCTAGGTTTGCAGTTGTGCCATACTTTTTCCATTTTCATATGGTAGATTGAAAAGTGGTTCTGTAAGAAGGTATTTTTTTATAACCTAAACCTGATTTAAACTTAACCATTTAATTCCACAACTCAACAACTTTTTCCCTGACCTCTTTGGTGTGTTCCTTTGTGTTCATTATGTTGTTTATCACTAATGTTCAGTAACAAATCTCATGAGTCTTTCAGAGAACAGCTATATTGATTTTGAGATTAATTTACACACTCTTTACTATGTGACTTCTAAAGACAAAGTTGTTGCTGTTTTTTTTTTTTTTTGGGGGGGGGGGGGGGGGGGGGGGGGGGGGTATCATAATAAAGGGTGCTGAAAATGAATGGAAACCAAAGTTTTCAGATTTCTATTTATAAAAACTTGTAAAACATAGTTCATGTTCCTTCCATTTCATAACTATGTATATGCCTCTTTGTGTTGGTATACTGTATCACATAAAGTTCCAGTAAAACACTTTGAAGCTTGTGGTTGTAATGTGTAATGTGGAAAAGTTCAAAAGGTAAAGACTTCCTAAAGCACTCTACAGTTGTCAAAAAGTTTGGTTCTGTATCACTTGGTCTTGTTTATAAAATTGTTTAATTTTGCATTGAATTTCATGTGTCTTTTGCAGCCAAACCTTGAAATTAACCATCATGCTGACAAGTCTCTGGACAGTTTCTGTAAGTGGCAGAGGTCCATCCTGTCTCATCACAGCAGTGGAAGTATTCCAGAGAATGGGATGGCTCATCACGACAATGCTGTCCTAATCACACGGTAAGAGTTGGCACAAGTTTCAATGATGGAGCGTGTTTTGCTCACACACCAGTATAATAATACACTGTTTTATTTATTGTAATTCTCTCATTTTGAATAATTAGGCTGCAGGATTTTTCGTGCTTTACCTTCAGTAACTGCCAGAAGCTCAAATTGTCCAGTTCTTGTACACACACTCTTTACTTGTACTTGAATAAAGACCTCAGTCCTGAAAAAAAGTGCTGTTACAGACATACTGTACCTGTCAGCCTGCAATTTATGTCAAGGCTGTTACTATAAAACAGAAAAAGCTCTGTCATTACCTGGAAAATGCTTCATTGTTGCCTGAAGTGTTTTGGCCTTGTAACGTAGCAACTAATTGGTACATATCCTGTCCAGAAAGACAGAATAGCATTTTTTGATTGACATGAGCTAAAATCAAGGTTTGTGACTTTCTGTATAAAAGAGTCCATTGTTAGTGATTGCTTTGCTTGTTGACAGTCACTTGATGTTCTCCAGCTCTGTTTTTACTGTAAGCTTGAGCTCAACCTACTGAGCCTAAACAGGGCCTACATTCAGTGGAAACTGGGTTTATCTTTTTATGGCTCATCGGTAATTGCAACGCAGCAAACATGTTTTTGCCTGTCTGTGTGTGCTTGTTTGTCTGTAACGTTAGCAAAATATCTTGTGAACCACATTCTCAGAAAGTACAGTAATCATTGAATGTTCCTCTATAACTGATTAACTTTTAGAGTCAGTTCAATTCATGATGCCTTCCACAGCCACCTGATTCAAAAATTGTAGCTGAGAGTCATTCTTTACATACACTTGTTAAGGACTGCCAGGACTATCGATCTGCATTTATTTTTGTCCCCTGTTGCAGAGCGAAGGAGGAAAATTGGAACTACCTTCCATCTGTTTATCCGTGCATGTTGTGAGGATGGTAACTTGGCAAATAAATGAGGTACCAACCATACATTTTGGTGTGTAGCTTCATCTACAAGTAAAAAAGGTCACCATCCAAAATTGGACAGCCATGTCAAAATCCAAGATGGCCATTGCCATATAGAAAAAAATTGGGTTGCTACATTTAAATGCAAGATGGCCACTGTCATACATATAGTATGCAATTTGGCTTACCCCTATCATTTGAAAAACTATGCTTTCTAGGTTTTATTTTGCTTAAAAGTAAAGTTTCTGACTGGGGTAGCTTAAGATTAATCTATGTTAATCAAGGCCACCAATGGCCACCCCCTGGTTCCACCAACACACCTGCTGGTGGATAAAATTGCTCCCACCGCTCAAGAAAAAAGAATATCTCCTTCTGTTGTTCTCCACAGTGTAACTCCTAACCTTTTGAATATCATGCACCAAAAACATGAAGGTTTTCTTGCATTCCCTTTTCAAAGTCAAAGTCAACTTTATTTTCAAAATTGCAATATGTACAGGACATACACAGGATTGAAATTACATTATTCTCCGATCTCTGGGGCAACAATAACCTTACATCCATCTAAAAAAGTAAAGTCTGGTCCTCTGGATATCCTTCCATCCATCCATCCATTATCTTTTACCCGCTTATTCCATTTTGGGTCACGGGGGTCTCAGGTGCCCATGTCCGGCAATCATTGTGCGAGGGGCAGGGTACACCCTGGACAGGTCGCAAGTCCATCACAGGGACACATAGAGACAACAACCATTCACTCTCTCACTTACACCTAGGGACAATTTAGAGTTACCAATCAGCCTAACATGCATGTTTTTGGTCTGTGGGAGGAAACCGGAGTACCCAAAGAAAACCCACACATGCACGGAGAGAACATGCAAACTCCACCCAGAAAAGCCCCTGGACCGGGATTTGAACCAAGGACCTGCGCGCTGAGAGGCAGCAGCTCTACCAGTTGTGCCACCATGCTGCCCGCAACGATAACCCTTAAACATTAAAACATTTAATAAACATTAGCATAAAATGAAATAATAAAAGTATGATACTGTCCTAAATTGTAGTATAACAGTATAAACATATAAAAAAAGTATATCCATAAAATAAAATGAAGGTTCTGACATTGACATTTGTAGTAAAGTGACAAAGCAGCATATGAAGTGAATGTACACAGTATATGTATGAAGTCTTTGATATTGGTATAGAGGTAAAGTGACATTTGCAATAAGGCTAGTAAAAAAAACAACAACATACATATATATATATATATATATATATATATATATCAACAGTAGTGTGAATACTGTATAAACAGTAGTGTAATATAAACAGTAATGTAATATAAACGTTGGTTATGTACTGTGACCCCAGATTCTATGAGTATAGGCATAGCCCTTTAAGGCCTTCGCTATTGGGTTTATCCCATCATGCAAAGCATCGCACTGAAAAGTTTAGTCCACGCCCACCTGTTGTGTGGGCCCCACCCGGTCCGTATAAATTACGTTAAGAGCGGGTAATCAGCTCCCAAATAGCTTTTTCTTCAGCCATTTAGGAGCCAGTGAGGCCCGGCGCTTAAAGGGCTACGCCTATACTCATAGAATCTGGGGTTACAGTACGTAACCAACGTTCTATTTCGTATAGGCTTTGCCCATTAAGGCATTTGCTATTGGGTTAAAAGGCGAAGCATGATGTAGTCCTCGTCTCACTGGGTCCATTCGAACACCATATGAAGCGCCAGCTTGCCCAAAAAATGTCTTGTCACTCAGCTCTCCATGTGCATAATTGCGCGTTGCGTAATTACGCGTACAATGCATAGACGCTTGCTGCATAGTTATGCGTTCTGAGTGCATGAACGCCCCGAAAAAGTTTTCAAAGGGGAAAAGGAAGGGGCTGAAAAAGGCCGTGAACCAAGCAGATCCACGGTTGATCAATATGAACAGATGAATAATAACAAGTGAACTGATTATTAATCAGATGAACTGATTGGTAACAATAGTCATGAACTGATTAGTGCCAATAGAACAAGAACAACAGTCACAACCTGTGACTGATAACATCTCACACTGTAAATGCATGCAGTCAGATGTGAGTTTAAACGAGATTCCATGAAATAACAATATTCATTCTGTTAAGGCACTAAGGACAGAATGCATCATGGAACGAGTCGACACATCACGTAAATAAAAGCGAATAAATGAACAGGGTGTTGACCACGCGGCCGAAGTGCAAATATCCTACATTGTCATACCATTATGCAAAGCAGTCGAAGATGCAATACCCCTGGTTGAGTGCGCCCTGAGGTTATCAGGAGGCTCTAAATCTGAAGCTCTGGAGGCTTCAGAAATGACCTCACACAGCCAGTGTGACAGGCGCTGGGTGGATAACGGCCGACCTGCAGATGGATCTCTATAATGCACAAACAGATGTTGAGTCTGACACAGTGCGTCCGTGCGTGCTATGTAGCACGTCAACGCCCGCACAGGACAGAGAAGATGGAAAGATGCTTTTTCTTCTGATTTGGGGGGGGGGGGGGGGGGCTCCAATGATATCGCTCTTGATTTAAAAGAGCTTGTGATGTTTTCAGGCATAAACACTGGGTTAGGTCTCAGATCAGCTGAGCTGCTGTCAGCCTGAACTCTGAGACATGGCAGAGTGACAGAGACGGCAGATAAATCGCTCACCCTCTTAGCGGATGTTAAAGCCAGCAGCAGGGCTGTTTTAAGAGACAAGAATTTAATGGGAACCTGATTCAGTGGCTCAAATGGAGCTTTGATCAGGGCTCGCAGAACCAGCGTTAAATCCCACTGTGGAGCAAGTGGGCGTGAAACAGTCCTGCGTCTCTGTACACCTTTTAAAAATGCTTCATCAGTGGATGATTAAAAGCTGTTCTGTCCCTGAAACATTCGTGACAGGAAGAGATGGCTGCAGCGTACATTTTAATCGTGTTGAATGCCAGTCTTCTGTCCATCAGCTGCTGCAGAAAGGACAGCACGCCACCTAGTGGACATGAGGTGGCCTCTACACCTTTCTCTGTACACCAGCGCTGAAAAGCTGTGGTAGATGGAGATAAACCAATCGTTTCGCTGAATGTTGTCCAACAGTTGTCTGGTTGTCAACATGGGAAACTGTCTCACCACGATCGCCTTGTTGAAAATTGACAAGTCCAAAATGGGTCTCATCCCTCCGGTCCGTTTTGGGACCAGGAAGTAACGTGAGTAAAACCCTGTGTTTTCTTCTCCATCGGGAACCTTGGAAATTACATATTTTACCAGAAGTTCCTGAACTTCTGCGTGTAGGGATGAGATCTGGTCTGGGGATGACAGAACCGTCTCTAAAACTCTTCCGAACGGGGGGGGGGGGGGGGGGGGGGGTGTTTGAGCTGCAAATTGTAGTGTATAACCCCTGCTGATCAGACGGCTCATCCACCTGTCTAGAGCGCACATCCGCTGCCACTCCGCATAACATTCGGGGAGTGGGCACGCATTTTTGTGATGCGTCATGTTTCTCACAGACGTCAGCCAGTTTACAGCCTCTACCGCCGTCATGTGTCATGGGAGTGTGCTCTGCGTGACTCAAGGGGAGGCTTTCTCGAAAGGGCTCTGAGCGTGCTTCTGTGCCGTGCTCAGGCTGTGGGCTCACATTCATGCTGATGTGAGCAGGCATGTGCTGAGGAGAGGTGTGCACGCCTTCATCAACACGGCACTGTTTGGGTGAAAACTGTTGGCGCCATGGGAGCGCTTGTTTAACACCGCTGCGGTGAGAGGAGGCAGCATGCAGCTCAGGCTGAGAGCGAGGTTTCCCATTGGACTCGGTCTGCTGAAAACATTCACTTTTGGCTGCTGTGTCACGCGAGCATTTCTTGTGTTCCTTTGAGCTGCTGTGATTTTGAAAAACCTGTTTTAAGGACACCGGCTTGTTTTGTGTGGAGGATGTGTGAGGAGAAGCTGCTGTGAGATCATTCGAACTGACAGACAGGCTAAAATCGGACACTTTAATCTTTGAATGATGTTCGTGTTTTATTTCAAAACTCATGTCATCATTTTGCATACACACATCTCCCGCAAGGAGTAATTTCTTG